TCAGTAGCGATCCGACGTCTCCATTGGCCACGTCGGAATCCGGCAGAAAGAAGGCCTACGCGCCCATTGGGTGCTGATCGCGTTGGGTCGTTGACAAGGAAGTGAGCCTATTTCCGCTACGTCACCCGGCGCCGGAACTCGCGGGCACAGCTTGGGCAGTCTGATTGGTTAAGGGAAGCGAAACTGGACCTATAAAGAGGAGCCAGGCGACGACCTCGCGCTACCCAGTGGCCCGTGGCCCCTTCGCTCCAGCTAGGAGGCGGGAGCTCTTCTGGAGGCGGCGGTGCGATGGAGGCGGAGGCTGGTAGGTGTGCGGGACGCAGGGGCTGTCGCCGGTGCGACAGTTGGAGCAGGGTGGGGGAAGGCAGCCTTGCCTTTTCCCGGGACGGGCCGTGACGTGTGGTGCGGTCGGTGTGCCGCTTACACGGCGTGGTGTGGGAGATGAAGGCTCCGGGACAGCCGCCGTCCTGGAGCCAAAAGAGGAGACGCCGGAGCTGCTGCGGGGCAGTGGCCGGGCGTTGCCAGCAGTGGAGGTGCGCGTGAGTCCCGTGACCACCTGTGTGGACACGAAGAGCGGAGAAAAAAAAAAAACAGAAAGCCGCGGCAACGAGGGCCCCGACCGTGCACGGCCTAATACGCCGGCAGGCGGCCGCCGCTGCTGCTGTTTGACCCGGGGAAGGTCCCGCAGTCTGAGGTTAGGGTGCAGCCCGAGACGCCGCCGACGGCGTCAGCTGCTCGGGCTTCCCGGAAGCTCTTCCCTAAGGAGAAGCGCGCGCTTCGCACGGGCCGGCTGTGCACGGGGATCCAGACTTGGCGGCGCTGCATGAAGCCTACCGGCGCGTGTCGCGGCAGAGGGGCTTCGCTCCTCGGGAGATGCCTTGCTCCTCTGCCCCGTGAGCTCCGTCTCGCGGCGTTGGTCACGGCCTTGCGCACGTTGACGTCTGGGGACTCGGGGCAGCACCCCGTGCCCCGCAGCACCTGGCCCGGCCCAGGTGCCTAATTTGCCAGCATCAGCGCCCTCCCTTCCCGGCGGGTCAGAGCCCCGATCCCAGGTGGAGCCCTTTGCCGGGCGGCACAGGTAGTCACCAGCCAAGCAGATTGCATCTGGCGTTTCCGGAGCCCAGGCTCCCAGTGGGAAGTGACCCTGCAGCGCTGCCCGGTGCCCCCCCCCCCCCGTGCTTGCTAACCTGAGTGTCAGTGGTAGAAATCGCTGCTGGCGACGTCAGAGGTGTGTCGTCACCTGAGTGAGATGAGGTCACAGCCGCATCTTTGGGAAAGTGTATGAGGTGGTCCTCCCAGGAGGGCCAGGCCCTGTACTTACCTCGGGGAGGTGTCTCCCCCAACCACTCTCTGAGGACGCGACACAGGGCCGGGAGGTGGCCACAGAACGCCTGGTGAGAACACAGGCGGCCATGTTGTGTTTGTGCCCATTTATAATTCAGTTCTTGGTATTTGGGTTCATTAGACCCAAAGGAGCAGGGCACAGACAGGAGAGGTTTTGGGGGGCCTGTGTGGGGCATGACCCGCTGCTGTGTCCTGAGGCTGCCCCCTGCACGGGAGTGTGGACTCAGCCAGCGAGTGTTGGTGGTGCCTGGTGGGCACACACAGGACACTGGCCTGGGCCTCGGGGGCTGGCATCCCCGCCCCAGCCTGTGCCCCACGTTTATCTCCGGGTCTGCTTCTACACTGAGCAGGAGGTGGGAGGGGCGCAGGCCCAGACTCCTCGCACCTGGGCCCTGGGTGTGGGGTGGGAGCCAGAGCCTCCCGGCACAGGTGCACCTCGTGGCTGGAGGAGGTTGGCTTTGCCCGTCTCTGTCTGTTTCCCATTGGAATTAGAGGGAGCTAGCGCCATGAGGGTCTCATCCTCCCGTGTGAGCACACAGACACACGCGGGTTCTCGTACGTGCTCCACAGAGAGGCGTCAGCCCCTCCCCAGCCAGGCGTTCACGGGGGCCAGAGCCTCAGAGGTGGGAGTGCGCCGTGAGCCCTGGGGTACGGTTATGGGTGGTGGATGTGTTGGAGCCCTGACCTCATCTCTCGTTCGGACAAGAGCCTGGGAACCTGGCTGGCGTCCGGCACATCGTCCTTGTACTCTCGGGGAAAGGGGGCGTTGGCAAGAGCACAGTCACCACCGAGCTGGCCCTGGCCCTGCACCGCGAGGGCAAGAAGGTGAGCACCGGCCCCCGGGGCCTGCCCCACCCCTCGCGCCTGCCCCGCCCCTCGCGCCTGCCCCGCCCCACGCGCCTGCCCCGCCCACCTCCAGCTTGAGCCTCACTGGCGGGGGCTGCCCCCTGCAGGTGGGTATCCTGGACGTGGACCTCTGCGGGCCCAGCGTGCCACGGATGCTCCGCGCACAGGGCTGTGCGGTGCACCAGTGCGACAGCGGCTGGGTGCCGGTCTTCGTGGACCAGGGGCAGAGCCTGGCCATCATGTCCGTGGGCTTCCTGCTCGAGAAGCCCGACGAGGCTGTGGTGTGGAGGGGCCCCAAGAAAAACGGTAACTGGGCTCAGTCTCGCGCCAGCCATCACAGGGCGTCGAGGGGCTCCTCAGGGCAGCGCCCTGGCTCTGCTCTGCAGCGGTGGGGCCCTCCTGGGGGAGGGCACTCAGGGGTCTCTGGACCGTCACACAGCAGCAAACCTGCCGCCTCCCCGCCTCCCCCCCGCCCGGCCGGTCGGCCGTGGGGTGTCAGGAGGCAGCCGAGGGCCAGTCCAACCACAGTCCCCCCTGCAGGGCCTGCTGCCTGGGCTGGGCTGCTCGGGCGGTCCCACGTCTGGTGGGGCAGGAGCGGGGACTACGCCTGTGCTCTGGGCCCCGGCCACGGCAGGAAGCAGGAACGCCTCTGGGCGAGCCCCTCCTGAGCCCCTGGGGTTCTGGGCGGTCTCCACAGCACTGATAAAGCAGTTTGTGTCAGACGTGGCGTGGGGGGAGCTGGACTTCCTGGTGGTGGACACGCCCCCGGGGACGTCGGATGAGCACCTTTCGGCTGTGGAGGCCCTGCGCCCCTACCAGCCCCTGGGGGCCATCCTGGTCACCACGCCCCAGGTGAGCGAGCCCCACGCTTCCGACGGGCAGCCCGCCCTGCAGGGTAGTTGTGGGCTCCTCCTGCCAGCCGCTCTCCCGCCCCCAGGCAGTGTCGGTGGGGGACGTGCGGCGGGAGCTGACCTTCTGCCGGAAGACGGGGCTGCGCGTGATCGGGGTCGTGGAGAACATGAGCGGGTTTGTCTGTCCACACTGCACGGTGAGCTGCTCGGCCCACGGGTGGGCATGGGGACTTTGAGGGGCTACGCTCACAGACCCGTCCCTGTGACCAGGAGTGCACCAACCTCTTTTCCACGGGAGGCGGGGAGGAGCTGGCCAGGCACGCCGGGGTCCCCTTCCTAGGTGAGTGTTACAGGCGATGTGCTGAACCGGCCTGCCAGGGACCCTAAGATAACGGGGGCAGGAACTCAAGGATCTGCTGTGGCCAGACGTGGGGCTAGTGGCCATGAGTCTGAGGTGTTGGGTTGGCCAGTGGGAGGACTGTGTCTGGGGGGGAAGCCCAGCAGAGCGCCAGGTGGCGGCATCTCACCGACAGGTGGTGTAGACCCCCGGCCCTGTTCCTGCTCACCCTGCCCTGCCTCCTTGTCGCTGCAGGCTCTGTGCCCCTGGACCCCCAGCTGGCAAGGAGCCTGGAGGGGGGCCAGGACTTCGTCCAGGAGCTCTCTGGGAGCCCAGCCCTCCCCGCGCTCACCGCCATCGCCCGGAAGGTCCTGGACTGGGCGCAGGCGCGCGGCCCTGACTGAACACCCGCTGCTCGCATGTCTCCCCGTGCCGCTGAGGGCCGTCTGCCTTCAGCACCTGGAGGGGCTGGCACCACTGGGCTGTGTTCAGAGACCTCACCTGTCCTCACGGGTGAGGGCGGGGACAGCAGTGTCCCGGTGGCACTGCTTCCAGAGGTGTGGCCCGTGCAGGCCTCAGGGAGGTGACGGACTGGCTGCCCCGGCCTCTGCACCCCCACGGGACGTGGGCCTGGGGGCAGCTGCCGTTGGCCTTGCCACCCCTGGACCTCTAGGAGCTCGTAAAGCCCAGGCCGTCCTGTGCTCTGCAGAACCACCATTAAACAGGCATCTGCGTCTATGTGTGTGACGTCCGATGCTTGTGTCCCACCCTCCCCCTGCATCTGCATCTCTGCCTGTGGACCCCTGGGTCCTGTGAGCCCAGAGTGGAAGCACACTTGAGCTGAGCACGGTGGGCACTTGGGGGTGACGTAGTGGTGTCATAGAAACCTGCAAGTGGGGACACCAAGGGGACCCAGGCACCAAGGTGCGAGGGTGACACCCAGAGGGCCTTGGTGAACTGGGGGTCATCCTCCGTGAGGATGGGGGCTGGAGGCTCTTTTGCACCTTTGTCTGATGAGGACAGTCTGGTGAGCAGGGCGGGGGCAGGTGCTGTGTCTCCAGGGGAAGGGGTGGGTGTGGCCCGGGGAACACGGGACATGGTGGGAAGACGAGGGGCACCTATGTGAGGTCTGGATGAGGCTGGGGGTCAGAGAGGAGGAAGACGGAAGAGGGCTCAGCTGCAGCTTTGGGGGGCTCACTGGGTAGTGCTCGGCCCCCCACCTGGATGCTTGGCCTTGTGCCAGACGTGGGACCTGGGGAGCAGACAGCTCTGGGCCCAGGCCCATCAGCTCACTTCCGCTTCCCGGGACCGGGGGAGATGCCAGTGCGTGGGGCAGGAAGTACAGGAAGAGGGCAGAACCCCTAGCAACACCCAAGTTTGGGGAGGTGACCACAGCACACCCAGGCTTCTGGTCCCCTGGTCCCCTGGTCCCCTGAGTGTCATTCTGGGGGTTACGTGCAGTGTTGGTCAGATGACTTTAATTGATGACAGCCCCAGGGGTGTGGGGACACGTGGCTGCTCTGCCCTGACTCTGGGGCAGGCCGGCCAGTGCCCGCACGGCGGGCGATGGCCAGCAGAGCCCCCAGGCCTGTCTGCTCCGTGCCAGCCCCGCCAAGGGGCCGTCAGCACTGTGCAAAGTGGGCTTCATCGAGGTCGCGCAGATCTAGGCCGGCCACGGCGGGTGGCGCCACACAGGTGATGTTGTTGTAGGTGTACACGGGGGCCTGGCGGTCATCACCCTCAGGGGCGGCCTGCACGGCACGTGGCACGGCGCGGGGGTTTTGCAGGGCAAAGGCCCGGAGCGCCCGCAGGGCACAGCCGCAGTCCCAGGGGTTGTCCGCGAGCCACAGACGCTCGAGGCCGGGGGGCTGCGGCGTGAAGGCGCGCAGCGAGTTGTTGCCCAGGCCCAGGTAGCGGAGCTGCCCCAGTGGCGCCAGGAGGCCGTCGGCCAGGGCCTCCAGGCGGTTGTGCGCCAGGTCCAGCCAGAAGATGCGCTGCAGCGGCCGCAGTGTGTCTGGCGCAAGCTCCGCCAGCCGGTTGCGGGCCAGCAGCAGGTACTCCAGCTTGCCGAGGCCGCGGAAGAGCTGGCGGGGCAGGTGCGCCAGGCGGTTGGCAGTGAGGTCCAGCTCCAGCAGCTCGGGCAGCCCCTGCAGGCTCTGCTCGTCAATGGCCTCGATGCCGTTGTCCCGGAGGAAGAGACGGCGCAGGCCCGTCAGGCCCGCGAAGGTGAGCGCGCACACGCGGCCCAGGCAGCTGCCCTCCAGGTGCAGACTGTGCAGGCGGCCCAGGTCACGGAAGACCTGCTCCGGCAGCTTCTGCAGGCAGTTGCCCGAGAGGTTCATGACGGCCACGCTGCTGAGCCCCTGGAAGGCGCCAGGCCGCAGCTCCTGCAGCTGGTTGTGGTCCAGCGTGAGCACCTCCAGCCGGCCCAGGCCCTCGAAGGCACGCTCGGCCACCTGCCGGATGCGGTTGTGGCTGAGCCGCAGTTCCTCCAGGAAGTGCAGGTCCTTGAAGGCGCGCGGCCGCAGGCCCGTGAGCGCGTTGTGCGAGAGACGCAGCACACGCAGACCTAGCAGGCCCGGGAAGGTCTCCGCGAAGAGGCCGCCCACCCGGTTGTGCGACAGGTCCAGCCAGCGCAGGGCGCGCAGGCCCAAGAAGGCGCCGGGCGCCACACTGGCGATGAGGTTATGCTGCGCGTACAGCTTCTGCAGCTTGGGCAGTTGGACGAAGACCCCAGCCTTGACGCCACGCAGCGCGTTGCGGCTCACGTCCAGCTCCTGCAGCTCACCCAGGCCGCAGAAGAGCGGCGGCTGCAGGTAGCTTAGGCGGTTGCCAGCCAGCACTAGCTCACGCAGGCCGGCCAGACCACGGAAGGTGGCGTCGGGCAGCACGGCCAGGCTGTTCCAGCCGAGGTTGAGGGCCCAGAGGTGCGGCAGGCCGACGAACAGGTCCTCGTCCAGCCTGCTCAGCTGGTTGTGGTGCAGGCTGAGGGCGGCCAGGCCCGGCGTGTGTGCGAAGGTGCCGGCCGCCAGGCTGCGTAGCTGGTTCTGCTCCAGGTGCAGGTGGTAGAGCGCGCCCAGGCCCAGGAGCGCACGCGGCTCCAGGCTGCTCAGCCGGCTGCCCTGCAGGTTAAGGAAGTCTAAGCTTGACAGGTTCTGGAAGGCGGCCGCCGGGATGCTGGTCAGGTTGTTACAGTCCAGCCACAGGGCCCTGGCGTCCTCGGGGATGCCGGCCGGCAGCTGCGTGAGGTTCCGGGCGCTACAGAAGACGCTGAGCTCATCCGTGTACTCATCATAGCTGCAGGTGCACACGGCCGGGCACCGCGAGCTCTCGGCGTCCCCCGGTTCCACGACCTCCACGCCTCCCGGGCCACCACAGGTGATCACCACCCAGCACACCAGCAGCACTGGGGCCAGGCCTCCTGCAAGAAGGCAGAGTCGGACCATGGACCTTCCCAGGCCTGGCCCGGCCCCTCTCAGCCACAGTCAGGAAGCAGCGCGGGAGCCCTGGTAGGGAGACAGGCCTGGAGCTGTGGCCCCGCTGCCCGTGCTGGCCTGGGCAGCACAACACGGCCATCCCTGCCCCAGCCCTCACCAGGGCTGCAACATGCAGTACCAGGAGGGGAGCTGCTGACCCCTGGCTGCAGTGCAAGCTGAGACGCGTGCCCCTGCAGATGGCACACTGAGTGCCTGGGCCGCAGACACAGCAGGCACGACCCCTTTGTGCTACAGAGAAAACGGGCCAGGCTTTTCTGGCTTTAGCTCGGCAACACGCCAGGCCTGAGTGAGCACCATGACGGTTATGCCATCCCTGTGACTGGCCGTGTCCCCCAAGACGGGCACTCCGTCTAGGTGTGGCTGCCACTCGGACGTGTGGCTATTGCTGGAACGTTCTAGAACAGCCCAGGGTGAGGTATCACTCTGCAGCCTGGACGGTGAGTTGAGTCCCTCCGTCTGGCTGGGCCCCAGGGACATAGGGGACACTCAGCCAGGCACTGCCCTGTGTACACGGCCCGGACCAGGGACTCTTGCTCATGGGGCTGAGGAGTAGACGGGACCCAGGACGTCAGCTTGCCAGATCAGACAAAGGTTCAGCATAAAGAGGGCACCCTCCTGACCTGGCCAGCAGCAGCCCCCACATCCTGTGCCAGGTGTGGGGCCGGCCTCGCCTCGCGGCCTCGAAGCTCAGGGTAGCACCAGGACGGTGCCCGTGGTGAGTCCCAGGCTGGCCTGTCGGGCTGCTGCTTGGTCCCAGAGCAGCTGAGTAGTGGGCCTCACTGCCCTTCTCTGAGCCAGCCTCGCCCCCACTCCTGCAGGGTCATCCCGCCTGGGGCATGGAACCCGACCCACCTCACCTGGCCTCCCTGACTGCATTCCTGGGCCCTCGGGGGAAGGGGAAACCCAGTGGCCATGGAGGTGACTCGTGCCACAGGCAGGCAGGCGTCACTCCCCAGGGTGTCCAGGGCCAGTTCTTCAAGAGAAAATTTCCAGGCCGTTCTGGGTGCCTCCCCCCTCAGTCAGTGGCCAGTGTGTTCACTGTGGGAGCCGGCACCGAGGGGCCTGTGGACGAGGCCAGGGGCCAAGGGAGCTGCTGGGACCCTAGCAGCCCTCCCACCAGGCTCCCGGGCTGCCCCTGGCCTCGCCCTCCTCTGGGGGCTCTGGTCACGGGCCACCTCCCGCTGAAGCGGCTGGAGGGGCAGGGCTCACCTCTGCTCAGGGCCATAGCGGCGAGTCCAGCGGGCAGCGCGTCTGCTGGGGCCGGCTGCTCCTGCTTTCTGAACGCAACGCACCACGCAGCCAGCGCCCTGACCGCCAGCCAGCTGCTGCCCGGGCCCTTAACCCCCTCGTGCCGGGTGGCCAGCGTCTGCCCGCGGCCCAGGTGTGGGCAGCTGGGGTCTGTATCTGCCCAAAGCTGCCTCCTGTCGGATGTGGCCATGGTGTGGCTCTTGGGGCACGTGGATCCGTCCCATCCCCGTCCCCATCCCCCTGCACGGCTGGGCCGAGGAGAGAGGACGGGACCTCTAGGGCAGCCTTGAGGGGCTGCTGTTCCCGACAGGAACGGGCTCTAGGAGGGGCGGCCCCAGGCTGAAGTCAGGGTCTCTGGGGGCCTGCACCCCAGCCAGCAGACAGCTTCGCATTATGAGGGTACCCGTGCTCCCTAGCCCGCCCGCAGAGCTGCCCTGCACTGACCACCGCCTCCCCCCACCCACAATTTCCTAACAGCGGGTGGCATCAGCCACCTGGTCTCCACCCCCGGCCTGCCCCAGGGTGGCCATGCCTTGGCTTCTCTGTGACCTCAGGGTCAGCTGCCGTCTGGCCAGGCCTCCCCCCCCCCTTCTAGGAACCCCGAGCTGCCAGCCAGCGCTGATTGCTGTCCACGCCCTTGGCTCCACACCAGCGGCCTCTGCCCCCCACCCCGTGCGGTCCTCCAGGCTCCTGCAGGCCGGCTGCCCGTCCCCCCACCCCGTTCTCCTGGCCCCGTGCAGCTGGGGTCAGCCCCGGGGCGGACAGGAAGGCAGCCTCCCCGGCAGCTGGCTTCTTTGCGGTCACCGCCTCCCCCTCCTAGGCCTGACCCTCGGGCGCCCCTCCTCCACCGATCCTCCCCTGCCCGGCCCCCAGAGGACCCTGCCCACCTGGGGCCATTGTGCGGGGCGGGGGGGTCCTCTCCCCCGCGGCAGCACGGCCGGCGGTCCTGTCTCCCCCTTTACGGAGGTGTCGCTCCCCCGCTCGTTCTGTGGGGTCTCTTCTGAGAAATTATAGATCCGGGGAGAAAGTCCACCCCAGGAGGCCGGCGCCGAGTTTACCCAGCAAAGTGCTCACTCAGCAGGGCCGGGGCCAGCGGGAGGCCGCTGCCTCGGGGCGGCCGGGGGCAGGGGTTCCTCAGGACACAACAGTGGGCTCCTGCAGCGGAAGCCGCCTCCCGCCCCTGCACAGCCCCCTGCCGTGGGGCCCTCCCAGCCCTGCCCCCAGCCACCGCGTGGGCCACCCAGGACTCTGTTCCAGTTTCTGCCTCCCGGTCCTCACAACATGCATCTCATGGGAGGCGCTGGGCCCGTGTGTGACGCCGTGCCAGGAGGTCCCCGCAGCTGGTGACATCATGCTGCGGGGTCCCTGCTCGTGTGGGACACCGTGCCGTGCGGTCCCTGCAGCCATGCAGGCAGGACACCATGTGTCCGCTCTGGGTCACACCCACCTGGGGGACTACGTGTTGGGGCGCTGCTGGGACCTGCCGGCCTCCGCCAGCCTGAGCCGTGCACCTCGAAGGGAACTTAGCGGGCGGCTCACAGACTCCCGGCTGGGAGGTGCCAGGCACCCTGTCCTTGCCAGCACACGTCTGCCCACCTTTCCCAGGTGGAGTAGGTGGTGGCTTTCATTAGCGCCTGGCCGCTGATCAGAGCCCGTCGGCCGTGCACCCTTGCTCCACGTTGAGTGAGTTCAGGTCTCCTCCCTGCCTCTCTGTGGGGTTCTCTGGCTGATTTGTAGGATTTTTAAAAGACTGCCCTGGACGCAGCCCTGCCAGGTGTGTTGCAGACAGCTGCTCCTACGCTGAAGTTGGCCTTGTCTTTCTCTCCCCAACTTTGACGAGGGTCCCAGTGTTCGTGTCATCTCCTGAGGTGTCCTATGGGATCTAACGTGAACCACGCAAAGAACCTGGGTTTGTCTCTGGCTCCAGAACCTCTGGACCCTGGAGTTCCCGGCAGCTGTGTGTCTGTTGAGGCCTCCAGACCACACCGAGGCTTTATGGTCGTGAGGGGACTCGGGGAAGGGCTACTCAGGCTGGAAAGACCCCAGGTGAGACCAGCTGGGCAGGAGGGGGAGGCCTGCACAGGGGCCCGATGAGGCTCGTGGGCATGGAAGCCTCCTGGCTGGTGACCGGCACCGACATGCAGGGGTGGGAGGAGTGACCCGCTTTGGGACGTGGAAGCTCTGTGCTGGGGACCCTCGTGGTCCTTTCCCAATGTGTGTCTCTATTTGTAACTTTATCTTTTCCCCGATACGCAGCGGCCCCAGTGTGTCAGAGTGGAACTGCTCCATAGGTTTCCGTTTAACGTAGTTGCACTTCTTCTCTGGTTGAGAATAGACACAGCCAAAGACACCCCAGTCCAGCAGTTCTGCGTGTACTTCAGCAACTGTTTACTCCTTTCCAGGAGCTCTAGTGGTGCCGTGGTAAAGCACTCGACTGCTAACCAAAAGGCAGGTAGTTCGAGCCCCTCAGCTGCTCTGTGGGAGAAAAGTGAGGCAGTGGGCTTCAGTAACGATGACAGCCTGGGAAAACCTGTGGGCAGTTCCACTCTGTCCTCTAGGGGCGCTGTGGGTCAGAATCAGAGAGCTCTGGTGGAGTAGTGTCTAAGGCACTTGACTGCTAACCAGAAGGCTGGTGGTTCAAACCCACCAGCCACTCCTCAGAAGGAAGGTTGGGCAATCTACTTCCGTAGTGATACTGCCTCTGAAACCCAAGAAAGGGTTGCTATGATTGTTATGCAATTCATAAAGATTGACAGCCTTGGAGACGCTGTGGGCAGTTCCACTCTGTCCTCTAGGGGCGCTGTGGGTCGGAATCCACTCCATTACCGGGGTCTGGCTTTTGTCTCCTTGCTGTGGTGAAGCTGTAATCCTATGTGCAGTGCCTTCCTGAGTCTGTGGATTATCAAACCCCAGGGACTAGTGGGAGCCAGCAGGTCAGAAGTGAGGGTGTCTGTCAGGGGGACCCCACACTTGGGCCTGGCATCTAGAGGTCTGTGTCCTTTATCTCGTGAATTGTGACCCAGCTCCAGGCAGTCAGGGTCAGAGGAACAAATGCCATGTGGCCGCTGGTGTCAGAGGAGAGAACAAAATTGATCCACACAGTCCCTGAAGATGTTACCTATTGAACTTGGAGCCTCAAATACCAACTAGAAAGAGGGGAAGATGCCAAACAAAAAACCAGGGCATTGTAACCTGCTCGGTCAGACTGGTTCCTGCGTGTGTACTCTCTTGGCACGTGGGTTCTAAACATACCTTCTAAAACTTGCATTTTGTTTGTCCCAATGTTATTTGCACCCACTGGGCTTTAACTTCCACGTGTGTGAGGCGAGGCAGGGGTCGAGTTCAGTCTTTCTTCTACATGGGTATCGATGGCCTCGGCACCATTTATTAAAAGAACTGTCGTTTCCCCAGGAGGCCTTGGGTGACACCAGCAGTTAACATGCTCAGTCGTTCACCAGAAGTCGAGCTCATCCAGTCCACCCCGAGGCACCTTGGGGGGGAGGCTGTGATCTGAAAGGTCCGCCGTGGGAGCCTGCCCCCAGCACGGCTCTGCTCTGACACGGGCGGTTGACGGCATCCGCCCAGCGGCAGCTGCTTTCGGTTCCTGCGGTCATTTCCCGTGGTGGCCCGTCTTCTCCTGCATCATGAGCGCAGGCTCCGTGAGGGCCCGGCCAGCGTCCAGCCCGCACTGCTGCCACCCCAGCTACTGGAGCCGCTCCTCAGCCCCGCCATCCGGTGCAGCGGTCTGCACCCCGTTCAAGTCTCGTCTCCTCTCCACCGTTTGCTTTTACGTGTAAACTCCGGAACCAGCTCGTCAAGTTCCTGGAAAGAGTCGGCCTGTGTGGGATCGGGAGCGTGCCGTGACGGAGCTGCAGGGCACCGTGGGGCTGGCGTCTTGGCAGCAGCCCGTCTTCCAGCGCACGAACGGGGCGTGCATAGGCCGTCGGAAAGGCCTGTCAGTGGAGGTGGGTGGTTTCGGCTTCACTGCCGTGTGTGCAAGTGCTCACTGGGGTGACACGTGTGATGCACTGAGCACTCCACTGTACTGTTCAGCAGTGGGTATGTGTGTGTACACGTGTGTACATGCATGTTCTTTACGGGAGTGGCACTCGTGGTGCACTGAGCACTCTGTACCGTTCAGCAGCGGGTACGTGTGTGCACATGTGTGCATGTGTGTTCTTTATTGGGGTGACACGTGTGATGCACTGAACACTCCACTGTATCGTTCAGCGGGTACGTGTGCGCACACGTGTGCATGCATGTTCTTTATTGGGGTGGCACTCGTGGTGCACTGAGCACTCTGGTGCATGTTCGTCATTGGGGTACCGTTTGTGGACGGTGCCCTGAGCGCTGGGTGGTGGACCCTTCAGTGGTCTGAGGGCATTCCCAGTGCTGTGTACCCCATCTGTTTCCAGTGTTTTCTGCTGACTGGAAGGCCTGTACTCATTGGGCGGTCACCCCCACCTCTCACGCCCACTCACGCCAGCCCCCAGCAAGCCCCGTCTGGCGGCCTGTAGCGGCCGCGTGCACGCAGACCGGCGCCATGTGTGACCTGACCCCAAAGCGGCTTGCTCAGCATGTCAGGTTCTTTGTGTTGAAGCCTGTGTCCCTGCCTCGTCCTCTCAAGGAGGGAGCGTGTTCCAGGTGTGTACACGCCACCGTCTGTAGTCTCGTCTGTGGACACTTGTGTCATGTCCACCTGGGCTACTGTGAGCAGTGCTGCAGAGAGCAAGGTGCACGCACCCCCGGGGACCCATTTTCAGTGCTTCGGGGGACGTGCCTGGGAGTAGAACTGCCGGGTCGTGTGGACTCTGAAGAGCTGTCGGCGCAGGGGTGAGGCGCTCGGCCGCCGGGTCGTGTGAAGATTCTGAAGGGCTCTCTTGGCGTAGGGGTGAGGTGCTCAGCCACGAGCCAGAATGTTAGTGGTGGGAGCCCACCTGGGGCCCTGTGGGAGAGAGACCTGGCGCCTGCCTCCATAAGATGACGGCCTACAGAACCCGAGGGGCCAGTTCTCTGTCACACGGGGTCGCGGCGACTTGGGACTGCCTCGTGGGTGCCCCGCAACTGCGTGGTGACTCCCTGCTTCCCTTTCTCGGAGAGTGCCTGCCGGTGCCAGGGCAGCCGTGCCGTTCCACAGGCCACAGCAGGGGCCAGGGCCCCGTCACATTCTTGCCGCCACGTGTCCTTCCT